AGGTAGGGTAGATGGAATGCACTGGATGGCAGGGTAGATGGAATGCAGTGAAGGTAGGGTAGATGGAATGCAGTGAAGGTAGGATAGATGGAATCCAGTGTATGGCAGGGAAGATGAAATTCAGTGAAGGTAGGGTAGATGGAATGCAGTGTATGGTAGGGTTTATGGAATGCAGTGAATGTAGGGTAGATGAAATGCAGTGAAGGTAGGGTAGATGGAATGCAGAGAAGATAGGGTAGATGGAATGCAGTGTATGATAGGGTAGATGGAATGCAGTGAAGTTAGGGTAGATGAAATTCAGTGAAGGTAGGGTAGATGGAATGCAGTGAAGGTATGGTAGATGAAATGCAGTGAAGGTAGGGTAGATGGAATGCAGTGAAAGTAGGGTAGATGGAATGCAATGAAGGTATGGTAGATGAAATGCAGTGAAGGTAGGGTAGATGGAATGCAGTGAAGCTATGGTAGATGGAATGCAGTGAAGGTAGGGTAGATGGAATGCAGTGAAGGTAGGGTAGATAAAATGCAGTGAATGGTAGGGGAGATGGAATGCAGTGAATGGTAGGGGAGATGGAATGCAGTGAAGGTAGGGTAGATGGAATGCACTGGATGGCAGGGTAGATGGAATGCAGTGAAGGTAGGGTAGATGGAATGCAGTGAAGGTAGGATAGATGGAATCCAGTGTATGGCAGGGAATATGAAATGCAGTGAAGGTAGGGTAGATGGAATGCAGTGAAGGTAGGGTAGATGAAATGCAGTGAATGGTAGGGTAGATGGAATGCAGTGTATGGTAGGGTTGATGGAATGCAGTGTATGTAGGGTAGGTGAAATGCAGTGAAGGTAGGGTAGATGGAATGCAGAGAAGATAGGGTAGATAGAATGCAGTGTATGATAGGGTAGATGGAATGCAGTGAAGCTAGGGTAGATGAAATTAAGTGAAGGTAGGGTAGATGGAATGCAGTGAAGGTATGGTAGATGAAATACAGTGAAGGTAGGGTAGATGAAATGCAGTGAAAGGTAGGGTAGATGGAATGCAGTGAAGCTATGGTAGATGAAATGCAGTGAAGTAGGGTAGATGGAATGCAGTGAATCTAGGGTAGATGAAATG